CCCCCCCCCGCTCCGTTGCACCGCGAGTAGTGTAATGGAATTACTCTGGGGCGGCAATACGTCGCGACGTACGCCTTTTTATCTCGAGGAAACTGATCTTCCTGTGCTCCTCTCCCTCTCTCAGGAAAATGGATAAACTCACTCTTGAGGTGAGGAAATAGTGAAAGTACCGCGAAAATAAGTAAATTGACGAATCAAAGATCCCGTGAATTGTAAATTTTTTATGTTTTGAAAAAATTATAATAGATTAGTCGAGCGTATCTTTTATCTTCTCCGGAAAATAGTAGTAGCGATATGCATGTAAGATTATTATCGCTGATGCTATGGTGACACTATCGACATATAGTGCTGGGTGGAGCATACGGCAATATTTCTTTGATCTTTTGTGTCGACGGTTCTGTCGAAAGAGAGAAGTAAATCTTTAGGCGTGGGTTTCTCTATTATTTTTTTTTATTAATTGAATTTTGTCCAACGAGAAGGAGCGCAGCACCGTATTCGTACAAGTTGGGAAACATCCTTGACATGTTGCAATCTATAAATTTGCGATGCTGCGCGGCAAAAAATTTGCGTCAAAAACGATTCACTGAAATTTCATGCTACTTTAACACGGGGGTTAAAAAGTACACAAATATAAAGTTATTCCACCTTGTTATTCGCCTTGTCGACATATGTTGATATTAATTAAATATTATATTTTTGTACTTTTTAACACATTTCTCCATGTTACAATAACGCAAAATTTCAATAGGTCGTTTTTAGCACAAAATTTCATACCGTGTACGCCAACATGGTTTTCATTCTTTGCAAGTTCTTTGCTCCGTCCGGTACTTTCAACAACGCTCTGTTTTTCTATAAATTAATAAAACAATTTGAATAGACCGTTTGGGACATACGAATCATGTTAGATTTAACACAAAATTGTTCACTGCGTAGGAAAGTGAGGTCGCTCGATTTCGAGCGTCATTTAGGGAGACGATCGCCGGGTAATTTACGCGACCCGCTCGCCGGCGCGACGCATTCTCCTTCTCGGTGACGAACGCAACGCGTTCATGGCTTGACATCGCGTACGAGGAACAAGGAAAGAGATCGGACAGGTTGCAAGTGCTTCTGCACGCGCAACTTCCTACGCGACTTCCTAACGCGCTCCACGAGCGGCACGTGTACCACGTGCATCAGCCGACGACGACGACGAAGGAGCTCGTGCACATTCGGGAAAATCTACAATAGCGCGCGGTGCTCGCGAGTCGCGCGAAGGAAGAGAACCGCCGCCGTCGGCAGTCTCGCCGATAAGACGCAAGGCCAGCGTCATTGGACGGATGACCGAGCGTTAAAATTTCATAGATAGCGTATGCTCGAACTCGCGTACCGTCAAGACGTGTGGCGGCAGACCGATGCGCCATTTACGATCCCGATAAAGTCGCGGGAGAGGACACGTTTTACATTTGGAATTCATAAAAGCTCCTATTATCGGCCCGCCGTATTCCACCTCGGTCTCTTCTTCGCGGCAAATGCATGCGCATATTTCTCAACGGGGAGATACATTTCGAAGTAATCAGTCTCGCACGATGAAAATTTAACATAAGGCTATTCATATTCCCCGCGAATTCTCTCTATCGCACTCTACCGTTCGTGGTTTATAAATAACCATCCGGTGCGTACGCAGTGTCGGAATGTTGTATTACATCGCGCGGTACTCTCTGGACCGCGTGAGCGCGAATCCGGCGCGAAATCGCCCGATTACCTGCCCTGTGCGCGTAACCAGCCAGCATATCCGACTTGAAGAACCACGAGAGGGAGAAAGAGAGAAAAGGAGAGAGGGGGATAGAATTTCCTGCCCCTCCGTTTTCCCGTTTTCTCGTGACCCTTTCAGAGACATGTACGCTCGGGCTATCGCGTATATCTAAATTACCGCGTATGACACGAACTAATTAGCCCGTAAATGCTCATAGTGACTTCATTATATACGCAATGTAAGACCAGAACGATGAATTCGAGCAAAGAGTATTCGCTCTTGGGGATAGTAAAAATCCCGCCAAAAATGAACGCATGTACGCCGATGTTTCGAGAAGTTTCGTTCTAGTGATTTTAAGCTTGAAAATAAACTATGTGGACGACCTCAGGCCAAAATGGAAGGCTGTAGTGAAAGCGGATATACCTCAAACTATTTGTTAATTAGCAGCAAGGTTAGAGACGTTACCATCCCGACAATATTGAACCGTTGAAAGAAAGTCGGTAAGATAAATAAGCTGAATAGATGGGTTCCACATTAAACGTGACGAACGTCAGAAGAAATATCGTTAAGATAATCAGAAGAAATATAGTTTGTCCTTTCCTTTTTTTTTACTGTCACAACATAAAGGCGAACCATTTCTACATTCTACATATTGTGACGGGAAATGGACTTTTTCTCGACGATCGCAAGCATTCGGCACGAT